CCCATTCCTTGGACCTGGAGCATAGATGGCATGTTTGATATAGGTACTGGGAACTGAACTTGGTTCCTTTGCAAGAGCAGTGTTTCCCTAACCATTGAGCGGTCTCTCCAGCCTGACAGGGATGCATTTTTTAATGCGCATTTAAAAATCTGTGAATAATACGTTTTGAATATAGTCTTCCTCCTTACAACTCCTTCCAAATCCTTCACCTGTTCCCTAATCACTCAACTTCATGTTCTTTCTCTCTCTTAAAAATAAAACAAAAACCAGGAGCAACACACACACACACACACACACACACACACACACACACACACACACTAAAAAACGTGAATCTGTTTGTGTTGGCCAGCTACTCCTGAACATGCAGTGTGCCCTGATTGCTGGTATGCCACTGAGTTGAAGAAAACTATCCCAGCAGGTATCAATTGCAAATACTGTTGTGGCTGGAGGTGGGACTTTGTGCCCACTTCTGCTTCTCTGTGTTGGGATTTTGTCTGCTTTGAACCTGTGCATCCCGTCACAACCTCTCTGAGTTCATAAATGCATCTGCCCTGTTGTTTCTGGAAAACACTCTTTTCAGTCTTTCTGCCTCTTCTTCACAGACCTCTGAGCCTTGAGGAGAAGGGTATGATAAAGACAACTCATTCAGGGCTGAATGCTTCAAAGGCCCTCTCTTTCTGCTAATTGTCTAGTTATAGATTTCTATGTTATGTACCACCTGCTTCAAGATGAAGCTTCTCTAATGAGGGCTTAGCTATGCACTGATCCATTGACATGGGAATATGTCATTAGGAGTTATTTTATTGCTATGCTCACTTCACAGAATAAATGTATCTTTTTCCTGCAGTTCATGACCTATCTATTCCTAGGTTCATGGTCTTATCACCAGTGTTAGTATGGATTCCATATCATGAAGCAGGCCTTAAAACTGATGGAAAAGTAGTTGGTTATTCACATAACATTTGTGCTACTGTTGTAACAGAGGGTTTATCTTGCAAATGGTCACCATTATAGATTGCAGGACTCAACTGGATGAGATTGGTTATCATCTTTCTCCCCTGGTAATGTTCTTGGTGCCTTCCAACACAGTGGATGCTATTCAAAATGGGGGCAAAACTTTGACTTGAGTACTAACTAGATCTCTCCAGGTATGATGATGTAAGTAAGTGGTATAATCAGCAATAGGAGCTTGCTAGCGAGTTGTGGAGGGTAACAAAGAGCATTGGCAGTAACCCATGATATTTGGGAGAGGGTCCAAGAGAGTTCTTTGGCCAAGACTCAAAAAGTCACAACCTATTCCTGGAACTGGGGTTTGTACTTGGTAGCATATGATATCTGTTTGGGAAATGGTCTCCTCCATTATATGGTAAGTCTTTTAAAATTTCTTTTATATATGCACATATTTTAGGAAGCTTCAACAGCAGTAAGTTTCCATATCACTTTTCCGAACACCTTTATGGCTAGCTGTCCCTTCCTGTAGCCTCTCCTCTGTCCTGCCCTTCCCCTCCCATCCCCATTTAATCCTCCTATTCTCGTGTCCCTTCATCCCTTTATAACACTATATTCTGTTTATTAGAAGAACTCTTCCACAGCCCAATCTCTTACTAGCTACCTAAGATCTGTAGTTATTCTGAATGAAGTACATATCCAAAGCTTAAAATCTAACATACATCCATAAAGAAAGACAGGCAGTGTTTGCCTTTCTGTGTCCGGATCACTTCATTCACAGTGGTTGTTTCTAGCTCCATCTATTTACATGAAAGTCTCATAATTTCCTTTTTGCTTAACAGCTGAAAAGCATTCCATTATATAAATATGTCCAATTTTCATTTTCCATTCACCAATTGATCAGCATCTAAGGTGTTTCCAATTTCTGGCTTTTTCAAATAGAGCAGTAGCAAACATTGTCTGCAGTAAGGTATAGCATTCACTGGAGATATCCCCAAAAGTTTGTATATAGATCTATTTTCTGCTTTTTGGGGAATCGCGACACTAATTTAAATAGTAGTTTTATAAGTTTGCATATCTCATATATTAAGAAAATCAACATTTTGTACTTTGAAGGCTTTTTGCTCCAATAGAACTTTTCAAGTACACTTACATCCAGCAAGAGGAAAGAATAATTCCAGTGCTCTATGGGAGATCAAATATATGTGTATATATATAATATATATATATTATATATATAATAAAAATCCATACTAATTTTTACTTTTGAATATTAAAGATATTTGCCCTGTAGCATGAGAAATTTCTGTAAGCAAGAGACATAATGATTTTATTGTATTAAAAAATGAACAGTTTTAGGATAAATTATATTTTATATAATACCACAACATATTTCTACATTAAAAGTGAGATTTATTCCATTACAGATGAGGAATCTAAGTTTTAGAAAGGCTTGGGGTCTTGCCTGAAGTCCAAAGCTAGCAAAAGCCATAGCCAGGAATAACACCCATTTTGTCCAATTTTAGCATCCTTGGACCTATTTCTACAAGTAATGGGTATGGACTTGACACTACAAGTATGTGTATGCAAGTAACATTATATATTGCTCTCTATAAAAGCAGATATATATTTCATGACCACATCTCACTGGAGTGAAAAAAAAACTTTATGTATTTGCAGCGCTGTAGAATCCTATAAGAACAGAGACCATTTGTATAAGAGACATTCAGAAATAAAAGTAGCAGTATGCTTAGAGGAAAGATATTTTGTCAGCAGGAGGAGTGATTAATTTAGTATTTATTTATGGAGTTAAACAAGAAGAAAGCAAGTTCTGAGCATAGTATCTGACACCATGACCAAGGGTCTCCTCTTAAACCCTGATTGACATGCTTAACCTCTGTTCCTTTGGAGCCTAATCTTTTCTTTGTAAATCAAATACTACGTGACATTGGACATTGACCTCCTCTACCTTGACATTGCCTGATTAACTTGGACATATGATCTTAGACATTATGTATTTCATATTTTGAAAGGGTAGCTTCTCTATGTTGGTGGATGTAATAAAATATCTATGAGTAAAAGAAACAATAGCATTTCTACCATTTTTTCCACCACTTTTTCCAGTATTTCCTCCAACTTTTAACAAATAGTCTTACTTCCTGATTTTATAGTATTTTATTTGATTCGTGCAGTGTGTAGAAATACCCTCCCAAATATACATTTTCCGCTAGTTTCTAATTTTAATAAAAATACACAAAATCAAACTATTACTCAAAAATCCTTCTATGTCTTTATTAGTCTAAGTTAATAATTTTCATGTTGTATATTTGGTATTAAAGTGTATAAGTAAGGTTAGATATCTGGTGATTTACATAACCATACTTAAATAATAATGTAGTATTACTTTCATATCACATTAAGTAATTGGACAATATGAGTAACAACTTGTTTTAAACATACATATTCTTTGACTGATCATATAAACAGGATTAAAAGAAAAATAACTTGTTATTTATTTTTCTGCATAAAATGCCTTATATAAATTTTACAGTTATTGTCCTGATAAAACTGTAAGCTTAAATATTTATATTAAAATTGACTTTGGGGGCCTAGTGGTTCAGAGATAAGCTATGACCACAAAAATTTGAATCTGATTATTTGCCAAGCTGGGCTTGGTGCCTAGATCACCATGATTCCTGCTATAACTGCACAATTCTCAGAAAAGCCATAAATTATTGCACAGTATGAATTTTAGAACGAAGCTAAAGAGTCATCATTGCTAGAGGACAGCTGATACAAAATAGCGAATCAATGAAAAGCAAAAGCCATACAGGTAATTCATGGTCACTATAATGAAACTACAGAATGCCTCTGGTTTCCATCCTTTAGCACTTTTCTCTGTGATCCAAAGTGGGTTCTAAGAGTTATAATTTGAAACCCTGCCATTAGCTCCATCAGAAATATTAAATGATAAAGCAATGCTTATTGACCATAAAATGAATATCATTTGCTATTATAAATTAGAAAATACTGTTATGTGACTAGTAGAAAAAATGCCAATGCCACTATTTTATTTTAACCTATAGACAAGTTAATGCCCTACTGGAAAAAAGCATACATATTCTTACCTAATTGATACCCAGGTCACCCATGGAAGCAGAGCACCAGAAATGCTCCTGAGTTTACTCAACTGTCACATATATTTAACATGATACATTCTGACAGAGGGTTCTTAGCCATCAATGACCTACTTACCAGGCTTCTGTTGTCATGAATGCCTGTTACACCTATGCTAGCCTGGGACATAAACATAGTTCTGTATGTAGTTAAAAGTTTGTTCCTTTATCTGGGTACTTGCCCCCCCCTTCCCACCAAGGAGATGACCTGTGCGTTCAAACAAACGAACGTGTTTGTCTTCTCTTGATGGCAGCAACAGGCCAACTCTGCCTAGAGCCCAGTGGTGCCCCGGTGGACGATGAGGATGATTTCATGGCCCTTGCTAGGTAATTAAGTCTTAAAAAATTACAGGAGAAGCATGTGAGTTGTACAGAGAACAGAGTAGGGGAATCGACTGCTGTGGCTAAATACTTTTGAATTGATTGTGTAGACAGAAAATAAGATAGAAATTATCTAGAAATGTAATCTAATTGTTATTTTTTTCTATCCAGGAAGAAAACAAGTCATTTCATATAAACCTAAATTTTGTTTCCCTAAGAGTCATTTGCACAGATCTTACTTGGCATACCTGACAAAATGAAAAAGTTACATTATTCCTACCATAATAAATCCCGTTCTTTGGCCTTCATTGGTACCTCTTCACTTGCAGCATGCTCACAGCGACCAAACAAACACCCAAAACCATCAAACTGAGTAGCTGTTTGGCTAGCATTAGCTCTTTCAGCCCATTTACAGCATTTTGTCGTCTCTGATGTTCAGACCAACAGTACTCTTTGTTGTATGTGAATACTCAACTTTCTTTGGATGTATTGACATGTTGAAGACACTTCTTTTAGAAATAAACAAAACCTCTCTTTTGTTTTACTCTGCAGGACAACATTTTTAAACTGCAGGACTCACATTTCGAAAATGGTCGTGGGAAGAGTCCTTATGACCCCAAACTGCTGACAGCCTCTCTTCTAATAGGTATGTAGTCAATGATCAACTACATGATGAATCTGCTGAAACCAATGTCAATGTGGTCTGTTCCTTTCACCTGTCAAGATTTGTCATTCTTATTCATACAATTTCAGGAGGAGAGTTTCTGCAATACAGTTCACAGATAATTTTTATAGGAAATAAAAAAATCACTAATTGTTGATTGTGATTGCCCTGCTCAAACTGATTCATGTTCAAGGACATAGTTTAATTATATCTTGACAATAGTTGGCTCAATCACTATGCATCCTTTGTTGAACTTCAATTTTTGCTTTTGTAAGTATGATTTCATTTTATTTGTTGAAAAAATTAAATAAAAATTTTGAGATATGATTAAGAAAGAATGGCGTTCAGTGTATCATGAAAAATGCACTTCAAGACACCACTGTTTCAACACTGGACAACTACTTCAGCACCAGCAAGCCAAGTAGTGATACAGTTGGCAGAGGCTGCCTTGATGTATCTTGTTTGACTCACTGGAGTGTCTTGTCCTATAAGCCAGCCTAAGAAAAAGATTCTGTCATTATGTTTTCTGGCTTTACCATCTTCTTTGCATAAATACTGGCATGATGGTTTAGACTTTATCCTTTACTTTCACCTCTTTTCTTTCCTTCTTTCCTTCCTTCTTTCTTCATTCTCTTCCTTCCCTCCCTCCCTCCCTTCCTTCCTTCCTTCCTTCCTTCCTTCCTTTCTTCCTTCCTTCCTTCCTCCCTCCCTTCCTTCCTTTTTCTTGTTTGTCTCTGCTGCAGAGAATCGGAGACTACTTACAGTGCAGAAGACCAAAGTAGGGGACAGAAGTAGGACTGTTAGTCTGTACTGAAAGGTGAAGAACTTTTAGTCTTGTACCCATCAGAAAACTGGGCTTAACTAAACCTAAGCTAAAAGTATGGAAGCATGAATGTGTTCTTCACTCCAAGCTCCCTCCACTTCTTTACTTTAAGAGTTTTCCTTCTCTGTGCCTTTTTAGTTAAATGTTTCAACAACTCTATACACATTACATTTGTTTACTTTTTTCTTTTTCATAAAATGTTGAAATGAAAAATAATGCAAGTTTTCAGACATCAAAGTTTAGAACTTTTAAAGGTAAATTAGTGCTTAGCTCATTTTGCATAAGTTTAATAATGTTTTCC